GGCCCTTTCTCCCTTTCAGATGAAGTGTTTTAAGTCTCTGTGCCCATCTGCTCCAAAAATGTCCTCTAAGACATTTCTAAAAAGAAACCAGTGTGCAAGGTCAGGCTGCCATTTTTATGTTTTGAGTAAACCCCTCAATGTCCGTTTTATTTTTATTTTTTATTTTTTATCCTCACCCGAGGATATTTTTCCATTTTTTTGTACAGATAGAGTGGGAGGGAGAGAGAGGAAGGGAGAGAGAGAGAGAAACATCGATGTAAAAGGGACACATCGAGTGGCTGCCACCCGCACGACCAACCAGGGCCGGGGACAAACTGCAACCGAAGTACGTGCCCTTAACGGGAACTGAACCCGGGTCTCTCCGGACCGCAGGCCGACGCTCTAACCGCTGAGCCAAACTGGCCAGGGCCCTCAGTGTCCGTTTTAAAGATCAGTCATTTCTTTTCTTTTTTTTATCCTCACCTGAGGACAATTTTTTTCCATTTTTTGTTCAGATACAGTGGGAGGGAGAGTGAGCAAGAGAGAGAGAGAAAGAGAAAAACATCAATGTGAAAGGGACACATCGAGTGGCTGCCACACGCACGACCCAACCAGGGCCGGGGACAAACTGCAACCGAGGTACGTGCCCTTAGCGGGAACCGAACCTGGGTCTCTCTGGACTGCAGGTCGATGCTCTAACTACTGAGCCAAACCAGCCAGGGCAATAGCACGTTCTTTTAAATATCGTCTTTTTGGAGGGTCTCCCTCCCCCAAAAGGTCTATGGGCCACATAAAATTCCCCCGTAGCTGTGCAAGGATTTCAGTGTTTGCAAGTTCAGTCTTTACAAGGAATTAACTAGGGGGAGTAGGATCTGACAACTATCCACAGGAACTGAGTACTGAAAAACAAAAACCCACCCAGCTACACTGTGTGATGGGACAGTGATCCGCAGCTTTGTCACAGACTTATGTGCAAGATTCCTGTCCTCCGTTCTGATATTTAAGTGACCATTTAATATGAAAAACTTAATTTATGGGAAATAAGTGAGATTTGGGCTTATTTCCAAACATGAGGGTCTAATATGGAGTCATACAGACAAATTTCAACTACATAATTACCATGGAATATTCTTAACACAGAGGACATTAGAAGAGTTCACTCAGGTTCCTTGGAGAGAGCTGGCAGTTCCTAAAGAGGACCGGGGCGGGCACCCGCCGGGAGCTGCAGTGTTTTCACACATTGTTCTGACCCATCGTCCTGCCCCCTCACCACTCCCCCATGGCCTGTCGCAGGCTCACTGTCCACCAGGACTGCCTACAAAGGAGTCAACCCTAAAATAATCTTGAAGAAATTTTTTCATGAGACATTGAGGTGAGAACAGAAGAGTATTAATTGTCAGCCTAATGAAAACAGATCTGGAGGTTACTTGTATTAAAAACCAAACAACGCAAAATCAGAAGCTCTGCAGTGAGAGAGTATTTGGATGACTTCACCTGCTAGCTCAGCTGGAAGAGCAATTATTTTAGATGGCAGTAAAAAACAACATTTCCAGTTCTTGACAGAGCTATATTATATATTCATAGATATAAGCTAAGTTGAAGCAATTCTAGAATTTTCCAGCAAGTGACTATTGAGTTTGGTTGTGATACAAGCCCCTTAGTAGATTTAAATATATTGACACCAATTGAAATTCAAGGTGAACCTTCTGTTTCTAGGTCTGTTTTGAAACAAAATATTTTTATTTAATAAGATTTGATACATTTCTGTAAACCACTATAAATCTTTTAAAAATGTAATAAAGGTTATGTGAAGGAAATGGTAAAAATTCATTGTTTAGTGCCTAAAAATAGTATCTGAGGAACAGTTACTACGTGCCAGACAGTTCTCAGTGCCTCATCCCTCCACACTTCATCCTTACAGTGACTACTGTTGTCCTCTCTCTGGCTGTGGAAGAGTCTAAGCAACCTCACTCCCTATGCAAGTGACAACTGAACACAGGCGGTTGAAGTTCGTGCTGAAAGGAACCATGCAGTTTGACTAGTTAAAAAGACAACTAAAGAACATATTTATAAATTTTTAAAAATAATTTTTCTTTATTGAAACATCGATGAGAGAGAACATCAAATGGCTGCCTCCTGCATGCCCCCCCCCTCTGGGGATTGGGCCCACAACCTGGGCATGTGCTCTGACCAGGAATCGAACCGGTGACCTCTTGGTGCATAGGTCGATGCTCAACCACTGAGCCACACCACCAGGCAAGAACATATTTAGACTTCCATTCATCAAGTGCAAGTATGGATGCTCTGGTTTAAGTGGGGTGGGGGTGCCACGAGCAGGCCCCAATTTCCAGAACAGCCCTGCAGACATACAAGTTCAGTCCCATCTTTTATACATGTGTAAATTAAAGCCCAGAGGGGTAAACTGACCTGCTCAAGGTCAATACAACTACATCTGAAAAAGCTTAGGCCAGAATTCAAGTCTTCTGCCTGCCTGGTTAGCACTGTTTCTGCTGCTCGAGCTGAATCTTGGTGCATAACAGACAGATGGCTGAATTACAGTTGACCTGAGATCTTACCCTCTCAGCTTAGATGGGGTCCACGTGAACCTTTATAGAATAGCAGCCCTGACAGGTGGAAAAAGTAAAATGAATTTTATTATTCCCATTCTGGGCTCATCAGTGAATAGGTAGTACTGCCATCACCTCAGTGCAATTCCTTGGAAATTTACCCATGTAAAATTCTCACATCTTTTGGGCACTGATGCTTCCCTGTGGGGTCTGGTTTCCCACAGTGTGAAATTTACGCCATTTATTCTTTGTAGCTCTCAAAGTTGGAATTTAAGCTCTAGTGGCAGCTCTAAAGATATGTGATCTTATAACCCTTTCTGTTGCTTTGGAGTCGAGGATCCTATTCATTTGTGGGCCAGTCACTGTTAGGTGCTGATGGGTTTCCTTTAGGGGAGGGCAAAGTCTTGTGGATGCTGGCCCAGAACAGCTCCTGCCAACTGCCCAACCTGTGCTGCACCTGTTCCTGTGCCTTGGGTGTCTGCATGCTGCTCGGTCCTGTACCTCAGAGACTGTTGGCTGGCTATAATTGGTCATTTTTTCAGATGAATGCTTTGTACCATTAGCAGGCTTTTAAATTCGGACCTTTTTACAAACGAATGTTGCTATTGTGTGAAAGGAGATTATGAGATCTTCTTTCCGTCCTCCAGCTACTACTTCTTCTCTGCTATGTCCCTTTAATGTCTGTGGAACTGTTGCAGGAAGAATTTTCATGTCACATAAGCTAAATAAAAGTGTTTTTTCATAATGTTGGTTTTAAAAATGTATCTGTTGGAAATTGAGTATATGAACTGTCAGTGATTAGGCTAAGTAGTGTTCCATTCTACTCTGAATTCCATTCTATTTTAGGTTTGCAGAGCCTTTTAAGTATTTGGTGAAAACCATGGACATTCTTCCTGGAAAAAGGTACATAAACACACATGCTTTTGGACAATTTCAAGAGAGCTAAGAATCTCTGACTTACGCTGCTGAACACTTTTTAAACAGCAGCGGTTTAATTTTCAGTCAGCTCATCTCACACTTGTAACTTAAAACCACCGCTGCCCTGTGCTCAAGTAAAATGCAGCCCACAAACATAAATATATAAACTTGGGTAGATTTTGTGTAATTATCTCATCCGAGTCAATTCGTATTAAACCCCATGTTAGGGATGAGGGGAAAATCACTCATTCATACTGAAGTTACCTTAATGCTCAGAGTCATTTGAAAATTTCCCTTGCGGTGGGGAATGCAAAAACCTAGGGCAGTGCCCAGCAGATCACCAGTTAAGGAGCCTTGGCTGACACAGCGCACTGAGTATGGAAAGGACAGACCCTCACCCCAAGAAACCTGAGAACTGATGTGCAACATTAGGCTTTAAAATGCAAAAACATTTTCAACTTTGACTTGCTCGAGTCCCTCCTTAAGGGCAGAAAAAAGTCTCTAGAGAGAAGATCTAGACTCTGCCTTTGTATCCCACAAGACTGGCGCCAAGACCTTCTAACCAACTCAGTGGCTTAAAGAGTTTGGGTAAGCCCTGGCTGGTTTGGCTCAGCGGTTAGAGCGTCGGCCTGCGGTCCAGAGAGACCCGGGTTCGGTTCCCGTTAAGGGCATGTATCTTGGTTTTTCCCCGGCCCTGGTTGGTCGTGCGGGTGGCAGCCACTCGATGTGTCCCTTTCACGTCGATGTTTCTCTCTCTCTCTTCCTCTCTCTCCCTCCCACTCTGAACAAAAATTGGAAAGATGTCCTCGGGTGAGGATAAAAAAAAAAGTTTGGGTAAATTTTCACTTACGTTTTCCTCTGGGATTATTGTGATTCATGAAAAGAGGTGAATTATTTTAAAGAGCTAAAAGACTGAAGTTACATGGTAAAAAAAACAAAACCTTTCTCCCCATAGCTCTTCTAACAATTGGGTCACGTGAACCCGATTCTTTTCAGCTCGTCCCTTTCTGTGGAGCTGCTAGCACACAGCTGCATCCTGGGGATGACTGGGCTCCCCCAGAGAGGGGCCTGACATCGCTGTTGTCAGTGGTGTCTCCCAAGGTACAAGTAGGAGTGGTTAACGAGGAACTGGTTCAGAAACTTCGAATCACCCTCTTTGTTTAGGTGAAAAATACTGGGACTGTATGCAAAGCAGGTGGCTTTGCCCGTAATGTTTGTTAAACATGAGTTTTCTTTGGAGAGAGCTGGGAATAATGAAGTCTGGGTGAATGATCCGTCTCTTTGTGACCTCCCAAACCAGGCTGCCCTCACTGCTCCCTACGGCTCTGGAGGGTCACACATCGGGTAACTGCCTCATAAAGGTGTGGGTTTCTAGATTATTCTGTACAAAGTTAAGTAAGTAGAATATAAAGCTTAGCTTGGAACTAAAACCAGTAAATCCCCCCAAATAGTTTAAAAATAATTTTTGTTCTCTAGAAGATTATGCATGCTATTTAGCTGCTTTTAATATAATCCAACACAACAAAAGTAGGCTATTTTTTGTTTTAATGAGAAACATCTGAGTTGTACATATGACAAACAGCTTCAGGTATCTGTACCAACCCCCCTGTGGCCAAACAGTTAAAACCTGAAGCATCACTTTAAATGTGAAAAGTCTTATAAAATTAACTTACAAAAATGTCCCTATCAAGTATGTAGTTTGGCATTTACTGTACATTAGTCAAAAGCTCAAGCTAAAATCTGACTTTCTTAAAAAAATCAAAGTTTACATTCATACAGATTCAGCATTGTTAAAAAATATGCACAAATCACCACATCCATGCAATAGAATTTCTTAAAAAATTTAAAGCAATATAAAAAAGCAGACCTAAGTACTGAATAGAGCATTTTCGTTTACAACCTGTAGCTCAAAACTGCTAGCTGATTGGAATAAAATTAATTCTAAAAATTTTAATGTGATTGTTTTAGCCAAGGGTGCATGTGGGTTTCTGAACCATTTTTAAGGCGGAGTCTGCTTGCTTGTTTCTAGAGCATATACTAGGTGATGAACACTACTGTTCACTTGACCATATTAGCTACATTTCAATAATGTTGTTTTACAAATGAATCAGAATTTACAAAGTGCTTGGCTCTTCGGGAAACTTCAGTTACCAGAGATCCCCAAACCATTCAATCAGCTTTGCCAAACTGCCCAGGTTCCCTGCCCTGGGTGCCAAGAGTCCTCTCTGGCCAAGCCCTGAGGGCAGCGTCTACAGCAGGTCCCTGGACCGCCTACCGCTCGCTCACTCACTCACAGGTTGGTCTGGGGCCAAGAGCTGGGCTCCCGCGTAAGCAGGTTGGTGGGGTGGTGCTGCCGGCCAGGCCGAGCCCTCTATGTGGGGGGCGGCCCGTTGGTGTACCTCAGCATGGGGTAAAAGGACCTGGCAAAATTGTTGGCCTGAGTGCAGCTGTAGTCCTCTTCGGAGGAGGGCAGCAGGCAGGCCAGGAGCAGCAGCAGCAGGAGGAGCAGCTGGAGGGGCAGTGCCGCCCTGATGACCCGGGAGAGGAAGGAGCGCTGTGGCTTCGAGCTGCCTGGGCTGGCAGGGCCGGGCACGCTGTCGACAGAGAAGGGTGAGAGCTCATCAGGAGGCTCCAGAGACACCCAGTCACTTCACCTGACCCCCTGCTTACGCAAGTAGACACCCAGGACCTGAGATTAAAATGGGGCCAACAGCTGGGGTTCAGAGAGACGAGAAGCCTAGCCCTTTCCAGATGAAAGAAAACTGGGTTTTTACAAAGACTGCGATTGTCACATTGGTGAGGTGAGCGGGAGGGGAATTCGGGGCTGTGGCCGCAGGGCTTTGTTACCTGCTGTCCGCCTTGTTCTTGCCTTTTGTAGTTCTTTCTGCCCGGGACTGCTGGGTAAAAACATCCAGTTAGTTACATCATGATGAAACATGCTTCCTTAGGTAGGCCTCCTGACAAGCTTTTGAGACTAGAGTAATACTTTTGATATTAAACTGAGGTAAGAAATAACTGGGTTTGTTGATTTGTTGCTGACGCAGGTCAGGAAGCCTCTTCAATGAAAGGAGGATTCCCACCCTTCCCAGCCTGCTACAGTCCCAGAGAAAAACCTCTGAGTTGGATCTTTAAAAGTGTGATTGGGTTTTTTTTTTAGATCTTAGGAGTAAGCTATTCCCCACTGACCAGCAGGTTGAAGCAATCTATGGGGTCACAAGTTATCTAATGATAACTTATCATTAAAGATGACAATCCTGTCATCTCAGTGACTTTGAAAACGGACCAGCGTGGTTCTCACGGCAGGGAGGGCTCTCACCTTTGCCTGGGGAGCTGGCATGGACGCTGCTGGGGGCTGGTCTCCAGCATCTACCTCATCCAAGCTGGGCAGCGATGAGCCTGGGATCTGAAACCCATATCCCAAGTTCAGTTCAGGTTCTGCATAGTCGCAACACCCCAAAAATGGGCTTCAAGGAGATTCTTCACTGCACCATCCTCCCCTCCCCCAGCTCAGATCTCCCCGGAAGAGGGCACGTCTGTTGCTCCACTCCCACTCTAACGGGGACTTGTTCAGACAAGGGAGTGTGAACAAGGCCAACCTCTTGCATTAAAAACCCACAGCACATGGTGGGGCAGACTGAGTTCAGCCATGGTTTGGGTATCTGTCTGTACTGAGTTGGAACCAATTTTAAAGATCAGAAAGTAGCCAAATGAGTGGTCAGAAGAGAGTGACCAGGACAGAGGAGAGGACTTGAAGATGTGGCTCGTGAGAGAAGTGAAGCCTGGAGTCTGCGCCACACGAAGCCAGGCGGAGACGATGGAAGGTACTCTTGTTGTATCCCTCTGACACTACCAAGGATACTGCAGCTCCAGAGAGCTTACGTAACTTTTTAAGGCCACAGCTAGAGAGGGAGATGACTCCAGACCCCCGGGGGCGGGGGGCACCTTCCTGTCTGCATCTAATATGACATCTTTCCAGTAAAAAGCCACAAGGGGGCTCACCTGCAAGGACATTAAGTCGTGGGACACTTGCTCCAGTAACTGCTTGAGTTTCTTCTCAATAACGTGAACCTTCTCTTCGGCCTCAATGTAGTCTTCCCCGTGCCCCTTAACCAGGAGGCTGTCTGAAATCTCTTGTAAGGAGTCTACTTGAGGCTGACGTTCCACTAGCTCCTTTTCCAGTTGCTAAGAACAGACAAGGGCGAGACCGTTGGTTTAGGCAAAGGGGAGCCAGGGTGGCTGGATGAGGCTTTCTCAGTCGTCCCGGAAGAACGGCGCCGGCGCTCCGCCGCCTGCCTGCCTGCAAGCCCAGCAGCGTTCCCAGAGCAAGCTGGCTACACCCTACCTGTTCTCTTCCTTCTCATTCTGGAGACAGCTGGCGCTGGGAGAGCCAGAGCAAGGAAGTGAGGGGAGATAAGGCCCTATCCACTAAACGCAGGAGGTCACGGGGACACCTGCAGTGGATTGAGAGAAAGCAGCTTACGCGTACTATCTGGAAATATGGAGGTAGCTGGCAAATGCACTGGTAGCCACTAAACATGTGGCTATTTAAGTGTAAATGGATTAAAACAAAGTTCACTTTCAGCCACAGCAGCCACATGGCAGGTGCTCACAGCTGCCCGTGGCCGTAGCTCCCACACCGGCCGGAGCACGTTCCCCACAGAAAGCTCCACGGGACCGTGCTCCCCGGGAGAGTGCGGTGTTAGAGACTTCAGGACCAGCACTGGGATGAAATGTAAAATATTTAAAATTAAACCACATATAAATACATGGATAAAAATGTTGACCTGAGTGCAAGTGAGGTCTCATGCTAACTCAGTGAAATAAATGTATGAACACAGGTGCCCTCCATGAAGTGGGGCTTTCCTAAAGCGGGCTCAGAACTCACACATGTGGACGCCTGAGCATCCTATTTCCCCTCCACATGAGCCGTCTTCACGAGGGGAAACAACGGGCGTCTCAGGATACTGCTCAACACCTTTGTCCCTAATTAAAGTCTTGAAGACCTGCTCTTGGCCATGCTCTTCACCCCTGCAGACCAGCCTGCTTCAGATACAAAGGATGCTCAGTAGACCCCCACTGACGGCTGTTCCCAAAAGCACCAGGCAGGGCTAAGTACTGGCTCCTGACAGGCCAGCGGAGGGCAGTGCACAGCCCCTCGCAGACTTACCCTGAGTTCTTCCCGGCACTCCAGGAGAGCCTGGGGGTCTGCCTGGGGGTCAGGCACATGAGCCTTCTGCCTCCGGCTCTCCGCACTCGCCAACCACAGTAGCAGATCTTGACTCAACTGGTGGAAGTCCTTAAAAAACAAGACACAATAAAACCATGCAGTAAGGTGTGCTTGCCGTTTCTAGTCTATCAGTCATCTGTGCTTGTCTTATCCAGTGACTAAAAGGCCCCAAAACGAGGAGGAGAAGCAGGGAAGGAGAGCATTTGGCACAGCCGCAGAGACATGATGAATTTTGCCATGAAAAGTGCTGTCAGAGTACCCGGCATGACAGAGGACGACCACACAAATTACTCGACAGATATGCGGGGTTCAGTGGCTAAAGTAGACAACCCAGTAGGGACAGGCGGTGGCCAAGGACAGGGCTGCATGTGGGCTTATTAGTGGCTCATGTTCCCTAAGATGGGGTCAGAGGTAACACGGACTGACCATTTACTATGTGTGGGGTGCTGGGCTAAGATTACAAGCATGCAATCCTGAAAAGAACCCTGCAAGGGAGGCACTAAAATTATTCCTGTTTTTCAGATGGGAAAACTGAGGTCCAGAAGGTTCACTGATTTGCCCAAAGTCAGCCTTAGGGCCTTGCCAGCTACTTAGGCTGTGGAGCAAGTTAAATTGCTCTTTGTTCCAGGACCAGGTGTCTTAATCACTGTGCTATACAGCCTTCCTGGCAAAAGGACAGAGATGGGACAATGTGGGAGTGGCATTTCTGACCACTGGGATGCTTGCTGGAACCCTTACACTATGAGGGGCCGGGGCAATAGAGCAGGAGACACAGGCATGCGTCAGGCCTGAGACAGCAGGTGGGGCTCTTGGGAAACAAACAGTAAAGCACATGCTTCCTGACACAAGCCATATTTGGCTGCACCAAAGCAGCCTAATGATGATAAAAATATCCGCTTCTCCTGCCCACGTGGGCCTGGCTGGGCCCAGAGCGGGGCCTTGGGCGCCGGCTGTGGGTGGCGTACCTGGCACTGCATGAGCGACTGCCGTAAGCCCTCTCTCCAGCTCTCCACCGCGCCCTGCGCCGCGTCCCAGTGCAGCCTCAGCTGGCCGACCCTCTCATGGAGCTCTCTGGACTCGCTGCTCCCGGTCTGCAGAAGTTCCTGGCTGCTCCCGCTCACAGAGACCACTAATGCCTTGTAGGTATCAAAGGCGTTCAGCATCTCCTACCGCAGAAGGAAAGCCTGGGTGAGGCACTGAGGACAGCGATGTGGGATTCATTCTGAACCTCCGCGGGCAACGGAGCTTCCAAACACTTCTCCAAGCTGAGGCCACAGAAACCAGAGCGCCCTCGCCTGTGACTGGCTGGGAAGGGCCAAGGGAGGGAGCTGCCTTACAAGGTCAGGGGACTTGGCCGCCAGGCTGGCCGCAGAGGCCCGTCTCCTGGCTGGCCGGCTCAACCCGAGGCCGACTCAACTGGACCCCGCTGAGCTCTGGCTGGCTTAACATTTCTGGACCAGATTAAACGTCTCCCAGATAAAGTACACTTAGTTATCCTGCATCTGCCCCTCGGTATCACAAGGGTGTTATTCCTTAGGTTACCCTGGTATGTTAATGCACCAGGAAAACAGCAGCACAAATGTGAAGGCTGCCTGGACCCCCAGCCCCTGCCCTTGGTCCTCTTAGAAGCACAGGCTCATGCTCACGGCACCCAAAGTGCAAGGCCCAAGCAGCCCCTCGCTGGTCCCTGGCCAGGCATTGCAGTGGGGTGAAGGGTGACTGTGTGGGTGGCAAATCCTAACCATGTAGTAGAGCAGCCAAATCAGTCCACAGATTCATCAGTAAGCTGGTCCTCCCCTCTACACTCCACCAGTCTGGACTGGTCACAGTCTACAGGAGCGTTTGTTTATATATATATATATGCTTTTTGAAATTGGTTTTACAAAGAGAGAGAACATCGACTGGCCGCCTCCTGCAGGCCCCACTGGGGATCTGGCCTGCAACCTGGACATGTGCCCCGACTGGGAATTGAACCAGCGACCTCTTGGTGCATGGGTCAGTGCTCAACCACTGCGCCACACCGGCCAGGATGGAAGAGTGTTTTCAAGCTGCCTCTCAGTGGCCACTGGCACCTCCATTAAGAGCCTACAGGTACCTCTAAAGTCAGATTTTTGCAGCCTAGGGGACCATTTGAAGATGCTCTTCTGAATGAAAGCAAAGACCTGCCTCCGTGTCCTTGGCAGTCACAGAAGGGAAAAGGAAGAGAGCGCTGGCCGCCTCACACCACAGCAAGCTGCGACCTGCCCCGCCGACAGGCCTGACCTGTCCATTCAGAGAGCATCGCGCGTGCTCTGCACGGCTCCGCTCCACCGCCGACTCACCTTCAGTCTCCTCGCCTGGAGTTCCAATTCCTGGACGTCAGAGGGAGGCTTTGCCATCTTTAATGTCTCCAGCTCCGCTTCAGTTTTCCTCAGCCAGGTGGTGATGTGGCCGATATCCGAGTTCAGCTGCTGCAAGTCTTGCTTTACTCTGAGTTTCTTGCGAAGTTCTTGTGCCTGCAGCAGCTCCCATCTGTCAAAGGCACCTGGGGTAAAAAGCAGCGGTCATGCAGATTTCTCTGCCCCAGCTCTTGCAGGGTCAGGGCGTCAGGCCTGCAGGGGATGCTCTTTGCCAGAGGCTAGCCTTTGGGAGTCATGACTTTCCATCCCCTTGCTGTGGAGCAAGGCCAGTGCCACACTCCCACCGAGGACGGGGAGGCGCTCGCCGGGTCGGAGACCCAGCAGGTGGCCAGTGTGCGTTCTGGTCGCGCGTTCAGCAGTGCAGTTCATGCCGTGTTCAGGGCTCTCTCCTTGCTCTGTGAATGGTCAGGTCGGGGCTCCCAGCCTGACTGTAGACCAGGTGAGTAATTATTTTTACAATCATTGAACTGGTCTCGTGAGGAGACACCGGGCACATCATCTTCCTGTGTCTGATCTTCCCATACAAGTGAAGCCACTGAAACATACATTTCATCACCTGAGGCTCTTTTTGTTTATATTTAAAGACTAGTTATGAAAGTAAACTGAACAGCCTAAGAGTGTGTTCCTAAATACAAGTCAGCTAATTCTAAAATAACTTGGCTGCTGAAGGGTAAGTGCAGCAGTTTTGTGAATTATCTAGCTGGGGAATTCCTAATTAATGGTCTGTCGAGCCTTAAAATAAATCCCCGACTCGCCCCAAATGCAGACTCAAACCCTCTTCACACCGCCTGAGGTAACTACCTGACTGCTGCCCGGCGCGGGAGGCCAGCCCCTCGTCTTCCTGCTGGGGGCCTTCCTTGCCACCATCCGTACCTGGAGACAGCAGCAGCTTTACCTAGAATGAGCCAATTTTATGTTATCCTCTAGAAATGCAAAAGGCCGAAGAGCATCCTGGTTCATGTGATCAGGGGAGAGACGAGGACACGGGAGCCCTTTCCTTCCAAGGGCGACTTGCTGGAAATGCAAGAGCTTCAGAGTGTGGGTGGCGAGCAGGCAGAGCTGACGGCAGAGGCCCAGGGAGGGGAGGCAGCGGCAAGTCCATGTTGGGAATAAAGTGACTGACTTGATGTGAGGCTTCCTAACACTACCCAATGAACCAGGCAGAGTTAAAACCATCACTGAGCTTACCAGACAGTCCCTGCGTCAGCGCCTTGACATCTGGACCGGGTTTCACGAGATTTCCGGTGCCCTCCCCGTCCCTCTGTGCAGCTGGTGGCACCACTGTCACCAGGGACTAGAGACACAGGACAAACCTGCCTCCTGGGCTGTTCGTCACCGAGCACTGATCTCTCATGGCTCGTGTGTTATCAGAGAGCCGGTCTGGCTATTAGCTCAGGTTTCCAAAGATAAATGTATCCTTTAAAAAAAGCCACAATTTCTTTGGATTGTGCCCATATGACCTCTTTGTGTGGAATGAAAAAAAATATAAAAAAACTTCAGATTGGTGGTGACATGCTTGGTTTGAGACACCAAAACAAAGGGCTGAGCAGTTGAAACTGGCCAGGTGAGCCCGGCCGGTGTGGCTCAGCGGACTGAGTGTCGTCCCACAGACTGAGAGGTCTGGTTCCATTCCAGGTCAGGGCACATGCCTGGGCTGTGGGCGCGATCCCTGGTGGGGGACGGGCAGGAGGCAGCCAATCGATGTGTCTCTCTCACATAGAAGCTTCTATCTCTCTCTCCCTTCCTCTTTCTCTAAAAAAATCAATAAAAACATATTTTTTAAAAAAAGAAAGAAACTGGCCGGGTGAGGCCCACAAACAAGCGTCGTCAACAGAACTATGGGTGTAAAGCAAAGGTGAGGTGCTGGGGTCCCTCCACACCGACTGTTAGGTCTTATTCTGCACAGAGAGACAGATTAAAAATGACAACTGCTTGCTAAACAAGTTTCTGAATTGGGCACGGGCAGTCCGTTATCAAATGACTGTGGTCTGACCACGCGCAGCGGAGACTCTTCTCCAACGGTCGAGCACTGTTCACGCCGACACAGAGGGCACGGTGAGGACTCATCCTGTCGGTGACGCCGACACTGCTTCTGCTTCTTTAACAGATGACACTAAACACGCACAAGGCATTTGCATTTCAGCTCTCTCACCACTAATGCCCTGTGCTGAGAATGACCTGGGCCAACAGTAAATCCTAGGCTGGCTGCCCCGAACAGCTGCACCGCCTGAGGCCTGCCAAGGACGCTTGTGGCTAGAGGGGAACGTAACTGAGGAGGAGCAGTCACCGTTATAAATAACAACACATCATACACACAGCAGTGGTGGTGGTGGTAGCAATAACAACAGCTACCAATTCGAGGGCCTTCTTCATAACTTCCTACACACCGATCCTGACAACTAAGGTGTGTTTACCCTCGGGTGAGGAAGGCTCACAGGGACAGGGCCAAATGCTTCTGGATCCAGAGCGATTTCTGGGCAGGGCTGGGAATCGAACCCAGTCCGCCGCAGCACACGGTTACATCGTTCTGGATTGAAGTCATACCTTTTGAACAGGATGTGTGGTCAAAGGTAAATATGACAAAGGTCTGGAGCTCAGGTGCAGCTCAGGAAAGTCTGCACTGCGCTTCGCCATGATTTGCGTGGATGACCGACTCAAAGGTGATAATCACTGTTGCACCAGGTCCACACACACAGATGGATTCTGGCCAGACACCTATTTTTAACTCAGGTCAGTTTTGCCAGGGTTATGGCGAAGTATGGACAGCTCAGCAGAGATATTGTCATCACGGGAAAACCCACTCAAAATGTGCCTGGGTAACAAGCACACATACCAGACACCAAAACTCTTCTCCGGAAATATTCTAAGTATTTACTCATGCACTTGGGTGAAATAAGCCAGTCAGAGAAAAACAAATACCATCTAATTTCACTTATATGTAGAATCTAATGGAAAATAAAAAACCCACTAAGAAAACAAAATAGAAACAGACTCATAGATACAGAGAACAGACTGACAGTTGTCACAGGGTAGGGGGATTGGAGGGCTGGGTGAAAAAGATGAAGGGATTAAGCAAAACAACCAAGTTAAAAAAACCTCATAGACACAGACAACAGTATGGTGACTACTGGGGTGGGGGTGGGGGAGCAGAAGAGGGTGAAGGGGGAATAAATGGTGATGGAAGGAGACTTGACTTGGGGTGGTGAACACACAATATTCAGAATTGTATGCCTGAAACCTATGTAATTTTATTGACCAAGGTCACCCAATAAATTCAGTTAAAAAAAATAAAAGACTTACATAGGCTGGTTTATAAGGGGTACTGGAATCTGAGGGGATGGGCTGTACATTCCTATCACCTCCCACTTGTTTGTAGCGATGCTTGGGACAGGAAGGACTGTCAGGAACGTGCCAGGAGTGGCCCTCAGAAATGGATTTACCTGAAACAAAAAATAGCAAGTGACAGTCCATTCTCTCCAACCAAAGGATTCATGTTTAGTGACACAAACAGTCATGGGGAACATGGCATCAGGTTACGGTGCAACATGAGTTCTGCAGCTTTCTTGCAAAGCATGCATGTTTGCAAAATGTCAGTATGTCCCAGAAGGGAACGAAATGAGAGTCATGCAACAGCAACACTGGGCCTTCACTAGATGGGTTCACCATGGAGCACAATGAACACAGGATTTGCTGCGGGATGAGTAGCGCTTTGGAGCTGGGGTCTCTAGTCGTGAAGACACTGGCAGCAAGCTGGGTCTGGGGACCACGAGGACTGAAGGTCTTTCAGGAGGGGAAGAGTAACCATTAGGATGGACTTGGGGACCAGAGGGCTGCTCGTGGCTGTACCCTACTGCTGATGGGGTGGGGTGGGGAATCAAGATCAGAGCTGCAAGTCCAGGAAAGGGAGGTTTCTTCTGCAACAGATGCAACAGTACCTCTGCCCTCACCTACCACTCACCCACCCTCTTCCCAGGAGATCACCATAAGCAGGAGAACAGTTCCAAACCAAGCCACCATGAAGAAAGCTTGGCTCGTGCCAAAGGACTCGAGTTAGATGGCGGGAAGATAAAACGTCAGAAGGCACCACAAAGAAGTCCCCTCTGCCCAGGCCTGAGGGGAGCAGAGGGATGGCGGGACTCTGGTCGGGGTGGTTTTGTAAGGAGCACGCAGGTATGTGTGAGTATGGCAGTGTGAATACACCATGACACACGGCATGGTGTCCGCAGAAGGCAGAGGTCAGACACGACATGGAGCGGGTTGAGGACGCAGCGTGTGCCACAGGGTGCTGCCATGTTGAGACGCATGCACGGCAGGGGCCTACCAGAAGACGCTCTCAAAGTTTTTGTGGTCATTTTAAGATATGCCTCAGGATTTTCAGGGATTTCTACATCTGCAAAAGAATAATGTCATTTTCCTCACTGCAGGAATGCCCCAGTATTAAATTAAAACAGTAGAAACATTGTTAGCTGGAAGGAGAAAGGTAACTACCCTTTACCTGTTTTATTAAAAAGCTTAAAAAAACACAAACCAGAAGGATGTTTTTCAGCCAATTCCCAACTGTCCAAAGCAGTGGTGGGGGAGGGGAGGGGCGGTGCACAGAAAGAATGGAAAACTATCCACGATACTCTGAAACACTCAATCAGAAAGTTCACTGATGAGCCAGACCCGTCAGTGAAAGCAGACTCAGCGGCCCAACATGGATTTTCGTTTTTTTCCCCAGCATCCCACAGAGTGAGCCGACTCTCAGGTAAGCAGAGTGGACAGGACAGAACAGAGGAAGCCACAGGAAGTCTGGGTCAGCCACAAGCTGGACTCTCGATCATGGGCCAGTTTCCAGGGCTCCAGAACGCCCGGCCTGTTACCTGACAGTGCGCTGTAGTACGGGCCCTCCTCGTCGTCTTCGTGGGAGGAGGAGCCCCCCACGTCACCTGTGTGGTCCCACTCCAGGGGGATGGAGTCCACGCTCACAGGGGTCTCGCAGCCAGACCGCTCGGGCCCGGGTGCTGGGGGCACCAGATGACACAGCGCCTGAGGGGACGAGGGCTCCTCGCTCTCCCTCCTTTTCCGCCAGGAGTCCGTCTGGATCTCCCTGGGGTCTTCCATGTCCGTTTCATTCTCAGAAGCCTCCTTTTCATCTTCTAGGCCCTGAAATGGGAGTACCCAGCTTTCAGAGCCACCAGATCACAGGCTGCTGCAGCGAGGAGGCACAGGGAGGCTGCCTGCCCAACGGTTCCTGAAAACGGCACCGTCAACACTTCCGAGGGAACTAAAAAGCCTGGGGTTCCCGGGCCCTGTTTATGATTCTTCCTATTTAGACCTTCTAGTGCGGGGCCTAGAATTTGTATTTTCTTTCCTAGGAAAAATATCTTAACTTTGATCATCTAAGTTAAACAACTTTATCTAGAAAAGAAATGGAGGCCAAAGTTTCGTTCTTTCTTTTTTTTTTTATGGCAGCTTCCTCCAAGAATCAGAAAATTAAAAACTTACCAAAAAAAAAAAAAAAAAAAAATTAAGGCAATTCGTGTTCTGAATAAGATTCACACCTTCAAGGACCATATGTATCAGGTTTTTTCTTTTGATCCCCAATCCTACTGTTCAAAATACAGTCTTACTCTCCCTATGCTACCATGACTAAGAAAAATGACTATAAATTGCTATCATTATAAATGAGAGTGATGCCCGGCTTGTGTGGCTCAGTGGCTGAGCATCAACCCATGCACCAAGACGTTGCCAGTTTGATTCCCGGTCAGGGCACATGCCCCAGGTGTGGGCCCGATCCCCAGTGGGGGGCATGCAGGAGGCAGCCGATTAATGTGCTCTCTTATCGATGTTTCTTTCTCTCTGTCCTTCTCCCTTCTTCTTTCTCTAAAAATCAATAAAGAAAATTAAAAAAATAATAATAATAAAATAAAATAAAAATGAGAGTGATGTAGGCTATTTTTGAGGCCGTGTCTGATGAAGAATTTGTGTTTGAGGTTGGGCAGTTGAAGACACAAAGGAAAAGGTGTCCAGGTTGTGTGGGTGAACCGTTGGCATTAAAACTCCAGGCACACAAAGGCAGAGGCTCTGAATAATGGCCTCAGCTCCACCTGAGTTGCCCAAAAGGTCCCTCTGTCAAGGGAAACATCACAATTGCTTTCAGTGGTGAGAACAAAGCACCGGAAAGGCACAAACGCTAAGAGCTCTCAGACCCTGAGAGGGAGGAAGAGGCCAGCACACCCCCAGGAAACACTGTAAGCAAAACCAAACAAGTTTTACAAATATTCTGGGGCACTGAGTCGGGCGAGGAGTGTGGAAGCGGTAAGACTTCCCAGAAGTGTCTGTTATCCTGTCCCCTGGGAAAGGGGAGCTTCTAAGTAACTGTGGCTCTTCATACGAGTGAAAATAACATTTTTCAACATAGCTTTCTTTTTTAAATCATTAACTACTCCACAATAAGTCTGGTCCAACATGGAGTCTGAGTGGCCCAGAAGCCCTCTGCGGGCGGCGCGCCCCTTACCGGGGCGTGGGACGTCAGCCTCTGGTGGAACCGGGAGACCCTGCCGAACACCTCCTGACAGTATCGGTGGAGTTCCTCCAGCTCGTCTTCGATCAGCACGGCATCGAGGGGCTCGCTCTTCTGAATCAGCTGCTCCCCAAACACGATGAGCTGATCAATCTTGTTGGTATTTAATGTAATTTCCTGTTGGAAACCCTATGTAGAGTATGAGAAAGGATTTCAAAGAAAGAAACTTCTTTAGGGATTCAATGTCTATTCTTATAACAAGCCACAGAAAAAGCATCAACATGTCATTATTGTTTTGTTCCTACACCTAGTACTCTAGCTTCATCTATTTTTAACAAGGTGACAAAGAGGTAATAATTTAAAACCGCTGTACTGGGCACTGACTTTTCCAATTAAAATAATCCTGAAAGTCTGACATGGATGGCCACGTACTGTTATTGGGTGTGAGGGAGAGAACGTGTCTTACTGAAACAGAAACAGAAAATTTCCCACAGAAAGTCACCAACGGGCATTTGCTTCTGCTGACACAATAACGTTGCTCATTTGTGCCACGATATTAGGGAAGACAAACTTCCACTCCCAACTTCTTGTAAAATCTCGCCAAGGAGGGAAAGATGTGCAATCCCAGTGTGATACAGATCACTGCAACAGTGGGAGAGAAGACGTCTGTTCCCGGCCCCACCCCGTAGCTTTTCCCCATTATTCCACACGTGCACTCAGACCCCAGCTGGGGACACAGCACCTCGTGAACTTCTGTTCTCTCCTTGGATGGTTATAAACGGCAAAGAGAAAAATGGGCCTCGTGCCACCGGCCCTTGGCTGCAGGGAACAATACCCTTCTCGGGAGAAGGGCTGGACAAGGCGGACGCAGCCTGGCTGCCCTAACAGTCCTGGAATCGGCTCCCAGGGTATCCGGTGAAACTCCTTGGCCCGCGCTCCTCTGCGCGGGGCCTTCTTCCGAGGAGCCGAGGGAGAAAGCCTTACGTTCAGCTGGCGCATCTTGTCGTCGGCGTCGCTCTCGGAGAAGTGCTCCACGTTGGTCAGCTGCAGGTCCATCTCCGTGAGCCACACCAGGATGCTCTCCCTGGTGCCCTCGAATTCCTCCCTCTGGTTGGTGAAATGCTGCAAAGTGGGGGAGAAACCACGTTTGTGTTGATGGCACCTGAGAGTTTAGGTAACAGCAAGGTTGCTTCTGGCTGGGGTACTCGGAGAGGAGCCTGTCCAGGTACCGGGGGCCCACAGGACCACGTGAGACCAAACCAGCTCCCAGCTCTCTGCGTCTCAGCCTCTTCCCTGGCACGGGAGGGCACAGGAATGTCGGCTATGGCCTCCAAGGTCCCTTCAGCATTCAAAACTCTCTGCTTCTCTAGTCTGGGTCAGTGATTTTTCCAACCTGTTCTTTGAGGAAGCCGCTCAAAGTCCAGGCCTGGCGCCTGGCCCGTGTTCACCCACTAGCTGTCTGTGGAAGCGCCTGGTTGACAGAAGGATTTAGGGCTTTAAGATGGAGACTGACTGCTCTCAGGGTTGAGCGGGGACCAGCCCCGTGTGCCTTCACTGATACAATCCCGGATGTGTTTCCTCAGAGAAAGACCCCCCAAGGAGGAGCGTCATCACCGCTCAGGTCAGCACGTCACAGATGGGCAACGAACTCCCCAACGAGCACTGCATTCGGAGCTACATGTGGTTTGGACTGTCCCAGTCAAGTCAGCAGGAGGTAAATTAAAACACGGGGGTTATCTGGTAAACTAGCCAACGTCTTCCTGAGAGGGTTAAAAACAACCACAGAGGCCCCGATTTTCATTTCTTTAGAATGGTTTCAAGAGCCTTCTGCCCTGCAAGCAGAAGCAGGGATTAAAATGACCGCCCGCGGACAGTGCACGCAGGTCCTGGCAGTTCACCGCTTCACAGAGGGTGACCTAGCGTGCCTTCTGGGTCACAGAAATCTAAAAAAAATCAGATGCGGCCTCTGAGGTTGGTCGGTGCGGTCTGAAATTCAGAGAACCACTGTCCCCAACCTGCACAGAACCAACGGGGCACAGCGGGCAGGCGGGCAGATGGGCACAGGGGGCAGGTGGGCACAGCGGGCAGGCGGGCAGATGGGCAGGTGGGCACAGTGGGCAGGTGGGCAGAGGGGGCAGGTGGGCACAGCGGGCAGGTGGGCAGAGGGGGCAGGTGGGCACAGCGGGCAGGTGGGCAGGTGGGCACAGGGGGCAGGTGGGCACAGGGGGCCTCCTTCCAGGCTCAGTCAGGTCCAGACCCAGTGAGGACAGTGCCCGCCCAGTGGGCAGCCTGTGGGCTAGCGTGCACACCTTCAGGGGTTCCAGAGGGTGAAAAGAGAGGTGTGTTTATAGCACAAATCACATAAACAAGCTCTGCCCAAGAAGCCTGCTCTTGGGCAAAATACAGCTTTAAAAAAAACCCCAAAAGGCTGGCAGGTCTGGACTAGAACAAAAGCAAGAATGTGAAGGCAGCTCAGCCCTGAAATCGAGGCGCCGCTTTGTGACAAGCTGCGTGGCACCGCCCTCCCCCCGAGACCGGCACGCAGCCCGTTACCCTGAGCCTCCGCAGGATGGCCGTGACCCGCCTCTGGAGGCCGTCCCAGCGCTGGTTGCCTTCGTGGACCATCTGCTTCAGCCGGCTGGCGGTGTCGGTGCGGTTCTCCCGGGCCAGCCGCCGGTACTGCTTGTTGACCAGCTCCAGCTGGGTGAGCCTCTCGTGCACCTGCCGCTGGAAGCCCTGCGCCACCCAGAGCGGCGTCAGGACGGGACCCCGACCCAGCCACCGCACGGGAGGGCAGCGGGGACCCCCACCTGTTCCTCGGGCGCCCGCTAGGGAACAGGGGTGAGCGGGCAGTGTCCGGGGGCGGGGCAGGGGTGGGGGAGATGCCCCGAGAGAGTCATCCCAGCTGGTCCTGAGCCTGCCCCACCTGGTCACCAGCACTGGGCGGGGGGGGTCTTTACCTCAAACCTCTTCAGCTCTTCTTTGGCAACTGTGTACAACACCTCGGAGGAATTGGGGAAGGCTGCCGTCCTCTCGGCCGACTTGAGCCAGTCCTCAAAGCGGGAGTAATCGTCTAAAAACTTCTGCCACAGGCGCCACGTCTCCTCGATTCTGAAGGCGAGAAGGCAGCTCAGGACAAGCCATCCATTTCGACCAGAGCTCTCGTACCTTTTTCCTCACTCTTGACTGGTCCTGTTCCCAACCCCAGCTGCCCCCAGCACCGGCCCTACGCAGGCGGGAAGACCCTCCTCCCCTTCCAGGAAAACCCAGGGACACTGCTCCTGGGTCAGGCACCTTCCTCTTAGGAGTGCCCCTCGGAGGAGAGGACCAGCGGAGACAGGGCTCCCTCCACTGCGCCACGGCCAGAGACATTACCCCAAATATGTTCTCCTTGAATAATTTCTTTAATAAGCACTGTTCCACCTAGTGAACCTTCTCTGCCAAGAGCCTTTGAGGGGAACAGAACAGGTGCTTCTAGGTCAGAGGGGGGCACCGCATTCGGCGGCCACACTCGCAGCCTCCAGTTCTCACTTCATCCGCCGCTCCATGGACATGGCGCATATGTTCCGCCAGCGCCTGTCCAGGCTCCGGGTGGTCTGCTGGATGGAGTCACACTCGGTCTCGTTGGCACAGGCATCGGAGTCGTGCAGGAGGACATCGCAGATGTTAAACACAGACTCCACCCCCGCGCTGTGTTGTTCAATGTCTCGCTGCAGGTCCTGTGATTGCAACAGAGTGAGAAACACCTTGAGATGGTGGTGGCGGGAGGTTCTGCATCCAAGGATCCCCACCCACCCTCTCCATGTCCCAGCCCAGGGTACGCAGTCCTGGGTGCATTTCCATAGAAGCAGCAACACAGGCTGAGTCTCTCTCATCTCTCTGCAACCCTGTGCTGGAGGCCCTGGCACAGAACCTAAGCACTGGCAACAGCTGGGATGGACCTGCTACCCATGTGAGGGCGGGAAGAGCAGGGGACCCTCCCCCCACGGACTCCGAGGAGGCATGGGATCTATTCCACACTGCCCGACTCCAAGGGCAGACTTGGGAGGTCTTCTGTGGAAAACCGAGTCTTTTCAGCAGGGTCTGAAACTCCAGCAACAGAAGCTCTTAACCTTTTATGGTCACAGGATCCTTAAATCCACTAAGACCTCTGTGCTATCTTCACGCACACCCCAGGGTGCATGCGGCACACGGTGCCCACAGCCTCCCAGGAGTCTGTCCTCGGGCTCCACAGCCCCAGGGAAGGATTTGGGGGTACAAACGACCCCACTGATGGGGCCTAGCTAAGCTCGGGGAGGGGACAGGGTCTCTGGAATCATGTCCTGTGATGGTGACAGTGAAGCAGTTCCCTAATTTGGGAAGAAGAACGTTCATAAAGAGAATATACATGTTGTAGGAAAAAACCAAAATTTGTTTAAGAATAAACATGGCCCGGGCCAGTACGGCTCAGCTGGTTGGAGCATTGTCCCATACACCAAAAGGTGGCGAGTTCGATCCCCGGTGGGGGCGAGTGAGGGAGGCAACTGATTGATGTCCCTCTCTCTCTCTCTTCCTCCTTCTCTAAAATCAATTTTAAAAAAGCCAAAATCTAAGGGGGGGGGGAGATAAACATGGTATTTTCAGGTATTATCCAGAGAATATTTCCTTCTGCACAGCATGGGAGTTGGGAGGGGAGCGGTAAGGAGCCCGTTTGTTTTGCCATTCTGGGCGAGTCAGGGTTCGGGACATCCACGCTCTGCGATAGGCTGGTGAGGTGACACCACGAATCCTGGCATCCGAAGCACATTGCGAAACGGCAGAAACACAGCTAAATAAGCCGCTATTAATGGTACTCAAGTTCCCTGGGTTCAACAAAGTTCAGTTTACAGGAGGAACTACTTGATAAACAGTGCTTGTCGCCATGGACAGGGAGGCAGCGTGTTCGCTCCAGGTGGCTTCAATGCGCAATGATTCTGGAGGTTACTACTGCTGTGTTCGTAGATAGGGCCAATATTTTCTTACCTTTCTTCTAATAAATGCACAATTTGGATCATCCTGTGTTCAAGTGGATATGAAAGAACAAAATGCTAACATGCAAATATATTTTAAATCAAGCAGTTCTTAACAACACAGATCCTGGTTAAAAATGAACACCTGAAAGTTATGTTCAGGAGGAAATGTGTCTTTCGGCTCGTCACCCTGTGCGTGCTGTGAAGGGATGTACTGTCGGCTCCGCAGCCCAGGACAAACGGCTGGGATGCGCAGGGGGAAGTGTTCCTGCAGCTGGTGCCAGGACCCACCGAGCAATGACTAGGCTGACACAGAGTGCTTACTGGTTCACAGAATTGTCACGGGCTTTCCTAACCTTTACCCATACTGATAAAAATCCCTTTTAACTTTGAAATAATAAACAAGGAATCGTGCCAGCCAGGTGGCTCAGCTGGTTGGAGCGTCATCCTGTACACCAAAAGGTTGTGGGTTTGATTCCCGTCGGGGCACAGCCCACGTGAGGAAGGTACCAGGCACACCCACACCCATTTCCCACTTCCCACCTGCTGCTCGGCGAGCCTCTTCTGGATCTCCTGGTCATCACAGACGTCATAGACCACGGGCTTAGAGAGCTCGGACTCGATGCGAGCCAGCCAGGTGCGAAGGTTGCTCATGTTCTTGTCTAACTGCTGAATGAACGCAAACGTCTCCTTCAGCTTCTTCACCCTAGACACATTTGCAGGGGAAAAAAGGTGGAACACAAACGGGCAACACTTAGTGGTGAGGATGCCCCAATAAGTGTGTTGGAGGACAAAAAAACAACCTATATTGGTTATTGATTTTAGAGCGAGAACAACTCTCCAGGCAGAAGTTTTCACAGAATACGTGACGCTTTACAAAACTGCTGTTTCTGGTGATTTTCCAGTGGACTCAGAGTTAGCCCACCCGGGCAAAATGAAGTCCTATCCTTCCCAGAGTGGGACCCCCTGGGACCCAGGCCATCTTCAGGGCTCCGGAGGAGAGGGGGTGCCTTTCCTTCTCTCTAGGTTAAATGGCCTCGTCTGACTTCTACCTGCTTGCCTGGGGCATCCAAGCTGCAGCAGCCAGTGACCTTCCCTGACGGGTTGAGCTGTCACACGCCTGGTTCTCTTGGTGGTGTTTGGCCCAAGAGGCCTCTCATGGGACTGCCCTCTTGAGCAAGCACAGAACATGCACCAAACCCCACCATGTCCAGTCTGAGGGGCTAAGGGTGCTGCACCCACAGAACCAGCCCTTTATGGGGCAACCGTGTCAGCCAAAGAGGGAGCGGGTGGGGCAAAGATGGTCTCCCAGCACAGTTCTAAATCCATCAGCCTCACCAATCCTCGGACTGGGCACGGAGGAGCTCTGAACTGACACAGGGGTCCTCAGTGTACTGGTGAGCTCACGGTCACGGGCAAGTGACAGCTGCTGAGGGAAAACAATCTTTATACAGATCCTGAAATAAAATGCTCCCATGAAAGTCCTAACGTACAGTGAGTGAGGGCTTTTCCTGGAGACCAGAGGGATTTTGGGTGAAACCAGAGACTCAAGGTAATGGCTACACTGGGAAGCTCCCACTCATCAATGCTGTCATTGCGAGGTGCGGTCAGAATTTCATCCTGTGGCACCGGGCAGAAACTGGGGCACTGGCCCCAACTCACAGGAAGCGCACCCAGCTCCCCGCCACCAGCATCTCTTCCTTGACCTCCCGTAAGCAGCTTCCTACCACCCTGCGTGCCTTCCTACCCACCTCGGTCCTGTCGCAAAGTATACATTTGAGATGGCGAGTCTGATCCCCCGCTCGAATCTTCCGCCGTCCTTGCCCTACCCTGACAAATCAGTTTAGTCTCCTGAGTTTTCAGGTCCTCAAGCGGCCAGCGCCCTCTCTGCCTCACCCTGCGCTCTGCAAAGCAGCTCCTCCTCCCTTCTCCCGAGCTCCAGCCGCTGCCCCTTGCCCCATACTCCGGAGCACCGGGCCCTCCTGCCCGGTGTTGAGCCTGCACCCATCACAAACTGCGGGGCTTGCTCCCTCTGCATGCTCAGCATCTCCCAAACTGATGGGCAGGAAGTGCTGACAAACTTTTGTTGAATGAATAAACGTGTGTAAGACTTCCACCACAGCTGTTTAAATGGACCACAGAGTTGTCTGCGTGTGTCTTTATTGCATCTGAGAATTGACCAATTCAACCCTGGGACTTCTTGCTCCAGCTCTATCACCAGTTAGTTTTACAATTTAGGAAAAATCCTTTTACCTCAAGCCCCTTCATCGCTAGTAGGCCTCTGAGGCCGCTCAGGCTTCTGGGAGGTGGTAACATCCAGGTAAAGTTAAGGCCAGAACTCTGGAGGTGACAGACTCAGATCTCTAAGTCCCATTGCACCATCTGTAAGCTGCGCACCCTTGCAAGGTACCCAACTTTCCTGATTCTCAGTTTCCTTGTTATCTGCAAAATTATCCACCTTGCAGGTGGCATAAAGTAAGCACTCAGTAGGATATTAGCTCTTATTACTGCTGACTGGGACTATGATGCTACAATGATGCCTCATTTATACCGCATTGGACCTCACTAAATCCTTTCATAAATATTTCATTCTCAACAGTTCCATGAAGTAGGCTGGCTTAGAAGCAGGCTGTGGAGTCTGGTGATAAAAAGCACAGACTGTGGTCAGGGTCTGGGTTTGAATCCTGTTTATCTCATCTATAAAACAGTGTCAACAAGAGTCAACTGTGGCTGAGAGGGTTGAATGAGGTATCAACACATGTAAGGCACTTGGCACAGTGCTTAACAGAGACTGATGCCCAGAAACTATGGCATAATTTTTTCAAGGGAATATGTTTCCCAAATTACATTCTTACTGGAAACATCACAAGGAGGAGTTCCCTTCAAAGCCACAAGATGATTTATTAAAAAGGAGGTAAGAGCCCTGGCCGGTTTGGCGCAGCAGTTTGTGCCTTGGCCCGCAGACCAAGGAGCTGTGGGTTCGATTCTGGCCAAGGGCACACACCTCAGTTGCGATTCGTCCCCCGGTCCTGGTTGGGGTCGTGCGAGAGGCAGCGACTCAATGTGTTCCTTTCACGTCGATGCCTCTCTCTCTGTCTCTCTCTGTCTCTCATCCTCTCTCCCTCCCACTGTATCTGAACAAAAATGGGGAGAAAAAGTCCTTGAGTGAGGATAAAAAAAAGGAAGTAACAGAATCCAGGGCCAGGCCCAGAAGCAGTTGTAACCTAGATGCCTTCTTTGTTCCTGTGGCTTCAGAGGTACACCCTCCTCACGCCAATGTCTTGTCACCCTGATGGCCCAGGGACCAGAAAGAACACTCCAGACAGGGCTGAGCAGCCAGGAACCCCACGGAAGAAGCACTCTTCCAGTCTACAGGGGGCTACATGGACGGTGCGGGGGGGGGGAGCAGCCCAGCCCTGAGAGCTTCCCCAGAGGTGGAGAGAGGCGCTCAAGCCCAGGGGCCTTTGCACAGCTCTCCTGCCCTGCTTCTCCCAGAACGGAAGCCCCACTGCTCCATCCAGCACCTGACCCTATTCCGGCCCAAGAGGGCTAGAATGCAGGCTTTTAAATGAAGGGAGCTAACAAGCCACAAAATAACCTGGGTGCAAACAATACAGAGATGCAGTGATCTTGAGTCCTGTTAGTCCCTGGGTGAGGTGTGCAGTGAGCAGTGGGGGGACTATGCAGATGGCAGAGGAATCGCTTGCTTGGCTTCCCCAGGACCTGGTACTCCAGGGGTGTCCAATACGGAGGGCTCAAGACACACCAATGGGGTATGGGAATAAAACATTAAGACTTTCTATTATTATCCCATTCTTTTTAAATTTCTACACTGGGTATGCTTTATAATTTGCAAACCTTATTATTCAAATGGGCCATCTATAGAACTTACTGACATCTACTGGGAACCAGGCCTGTAGTGCTTAACATGCTAGCAACTCATTTAATCCTCCCAAACGCTATGAGATCGGCACTATCATCATCCCCATTTGACAGATGAAGCAACTGAGGTACCGAGTTTAAACAACTCGCCCCCGTGACGTGGTCCTAAGTGGCAGAGGTAGCTTCCAAGCTGCGCAGTCCGTCCGGAGCTGCAGTTCCTCAGCATGTTCGCGCAGCACCACATATAAACCTGCACGTGCTACGTGCACATCTGGGGGTACCGGGTGGTTTTTGTTCCTGTCGGGGAACATGGTCAGAAGTCTAGCCTCATGGCTCCAGCATGAACAGGGGATGAACAAGTGCTGAACTTTGGGTGCCCACGGTTGATTCTCCGTGGTTTCCTTTCAATAAACACTGAACCATCTGCTTTGCCTTGGGGTCCTGTGGATCCTGAGGTGGCAATAGTCTTCTTCCTGAAGAGCCCATGATCTAGTTTTGCTCTAATGTAGACAATGTAATATAATATCGGGGTGCTCAATACATATCTTCTGAATGAGGAAATGATGTTCACTCATACTTTCAACTTTGTCTTTTTCATAAATGAGGCAGTGATGTTATATGTTAAAGATCAGAGCAGCTCCGGGTGATCTTGCCACAAAAACACATGCTCCTAAACCTTGGTTCCATTTTGGGCAAGTGAAGGGCTGGACAGATGAGCACACAAACCACACACATTCTTAGAGCGAATTAATTAAATTTTTAAAAAATCCTCACTCAAGGATATTTTCTCACTGATTTTCAGATACAGTGCAAGGGAGGGAGGGAGAGAGAGACAGAAACATTGATGTGAGAGAGACACTGGTTGCCTCCGGCACAATCCCAACCAGGGCCAGGGACCAAACTGCAACCGAGGTATGTGCCCTTGACTGGAATCGAACGCCCTGACCCTTTGGTCCACGGGCGGACGCTCTAACCGCTGGGCCAAACCGGCCTGGGCATCCTTAGAGCAAATTAAAGTGGGAGGGAAAGAAAAGAAGGTCACCAAGAAGCTACAAAACATTCATCCGGTCAGGATTTAACATGTTTCTTTGTCCAAAAATGCAGTGATAGAAATAAATGTTGTTCCTCGAATTAATATGTTACAACTTACTCTAGGAACCCTCAGATGTTCTGCTGAGTTTGTATCGTTCTACTCTGCACAGACACTGAGATCTAATTATCACCTTTCCCAGGTCAGGAAGTCTCTCTCCTTTGCCCCCCCAGGCAGCCAACCTCCATGTCAGGCCTCATTAATATTGCTCTTAAAAGAATGTAAATCTTGAGTTAATCCTGAGCAACAAGGAAACCCATTCAGAAACCAGACTGTTGGCACAAGGTAGCAACCACCACACCGCATCACAGCAACCGCCCAGGCCACTGCCGCGGCCGCCGCCTCTGCCCTCACCACGCTCCGTCCAGGTGCGCTGGACTAACATTGCTCGCGGATATATTTCATCAAACCACATTTCTCCAGAAAAAATGAGCATTACTTTCTGAGCTGAATTTCTGGTCCAAGAATTGGAAAAACAAAATATTAGGGGGCACAGGGGAAGTTTGTCATCTGTGTGGCCTCTTGGAAGACCCCAATAAAACATTTTTATATGAAACCCAAACAAGATAAGAATTTTGCCTGAGCAAGCTACACATGAGAAGTTCTGTGGGGACTGTGGGCAGAAATGCAAAAAAGAATCAAGGTGAACCAAGTTTTCCTTTTATCTTCACTGGTGATGGACCAGAATATAATACTAAGAACCCTGCTCTCCCTCCAAAACAAACCAAACCAAA